GTGTGTGTGTCGCTGCCCCAAACGCCTGGACGGTGGCCAAATTGTGGTGTTGTGGCAGTACCTCTTGTCCTTCACTGATGTGTGTGTGTGTGTGTGTGTGTGTGTGTACTGTTTTTATTCCCTGACGCCCTGAGAAAAGGATTTAGGAATGCAGGCTATCTTTCTCTGCGTCTGGGAGTTGTCAATACGATAACTTTGAACAAATAATACCATAGCTTTAGCGAATGAGCTATTTTAATTTGGCACAACGAAATCTAGCACGGGTTTGGGAATAAATTTATGTTCTTATTAGAAAGTTATGGCTTGGTGGGGACTAATAATCAGTGTTATAATTGCAATTATTATATGACGCTATCGGTCATTCTTAGCTACACATTACCTTGGGTGGTTATGTTAGCTTCGTTTAGTGAGTGTTGGTTGATGTTATCCTGTGAGAAGTTTTATTTCTCACCGATCTCTATTTCGAAACCTAAGTCGCCTCGCACTTCAACTAATGACAAGTTGGACGACGGGCGCGCTCTAGCCGCTGGATGATATTGTGTACTCATGTTCTTTTACCAATTCCGATAACACCACAGTCGTACCGAGATTGTCAATACTCGGTAAACACACCCGAATTGAACCTAATGTAACTGTTACCCCTTGAGACGCTTTACCAATTCCCCTGGGCATAGTGGGTTTTCCTTGAATACGATGACTTAAGCTCTTTAAATACAATGACCTGTTCTCTTGAGTACGATGATATTGAGGTTTAGTGTTAAATCATTGTTCTCAAGAGTTAACGATTTACTAAAACTAACTAAAATCAACGCTGAAAAGCAGTAGAGACGGCCACACAGAAATTCGTTAGATTTGGGGGCCCCGTCGCCTCAGTCCAGGAGGAAGCTTGTCGATTGAGGTACCGACGGGGGGTTTGAAGCTTCATGTATTACCAGCAAAGCCTATCGCCCTGAAGCCTCTAAACACAGGTTCTCGTCACCTGGACATAACTCTACTTTTGGTCACCTGCAGAATCTCCACCACGGCTTATTTCGCCTAAAGATCAACCTAACCTAACCTCATCCCCCTGTTAGGTGGTTAATCTCTCGGGCAGGTGCAATAACCTGGGGTGGAGATTCTTCAGGTGTTCCCTTATGTAATATAGACCGTCACCTCTCCTGCCCACAGCGTCGGAAGGGTACACGGACTAACACTCACCCGGACAAGTTAGATATCATAATAGTAACTTTAGATTAGGTTATGTTGCCGTCAGGTTAAGTTCGAGTTATCTTATGATGAAGTAAACAGAGGTGCCCAATCTTCACGTGATCTAAACCAACAATTTAGGGAATATGTAGAGTGTTCATAGTTCACATATGGCACTGTGTGTGTGTGTGTGTGTGTGTGTGTGTGTGTGTGTGTGTGTGTGTACCTTGGCAACATTAAACAGGAGATAATATCACTAAAAACAATTCAATTTAAATGTCCTAACCCCAGCTAGCACCAACCTTTCAATGATGTTTTGATGGTAGAGCGCGCCACACCCGGACGATGGCGATGAGAGATGACCCTACCATCTCTCCCCCTCCCGAGCCTGACCCCTCAACCCCAGACATTCATCAGGCAGACAAACACAAAAAACTGTATCCTTCACAACACACCCACACCACACCACACCACACTACCACACCTCCCATCACAACACACACACCACAACACCACCCACCCCACAACACACCACCCACACACCACACCCACCACACCCCACACACCCCACCACACCCACCACCACCCCCACCACATCACACACCACACACACCACCCACCCCACCACACCACACCCCTACACACCCCCACCCCCACACACACCCCCACACACCACAACATCCCACACCACACCCTACCACACCACAACCCTCCCATCACACACCACACACAACACCCACACCACACCACACCCACCACACACACCCACACACACACCACACCACCACACCACACCACACCACACACCACACACCACAACACCCTCACCACACACAACACCCCACCACACACAACACACACCACATCCCCACCCACACACACCCTCACCACACAACACACTCCCACCACAACACCCCCAGCACACCACACCCCTACCACATCCTCACACAACACCCCCACTACACCACACAACACCACAACACCAGAGTGTTTATAATACACACATACACCACACCTCCACCACACCTACAGTACAGTACAGTATGAGTGTAGCGGTCACTTGAGTTTGATGATTATGATGAGTAAATATTAGTAGTGGGAGGACACGGGTAGGTTAGGTTAAGTTTAGGTTAGGTTAGGTTAGGTTAGGTTAGGTCAGGTTAGGTTAGGTCAGGTTAGGTTAGGTCAGGTTAGGTTAGGTTAGGTTAGCTTAGGTTAGGTTAGGTTAGGTTAGAGAAACAATCTTTAAAGTATTCGGTGATGAAAGACAACACGATCTAAGATGAGGATATGACTTTGTGCGTCACTAACCAGAAGGTGAGTTACCACAACTATGAACCGTCGCTCGCTGGTCTGACATAAAACACAAGTAGAATTCCATATAAACAAGAACAGTTAATTATATCCATACACGATTATTTCTGTATCACACACGTTGAGGTCAAAAACACACATGAGGTTTATTAATACAGGAGAGAGAAGTATGTATCGGGATGTAAAGGTAAACAATGCAACTCGTGTTTAGTCGGCTATCTTAACTAGTACAGTCCACGACCCTAACACCAACTTAACACGAATAAGACGGGTATACGTAAAGGACTAACAAGGCTAACTTATGACGTAATATTACAAGGCTAGGTAATGACGTAACATGTACAAGACTAACTTATGACGTAATATTACAAGGCTAGGTAATGACGTAACATGTACAAGACTAACTTATTACGTAATATTACAAGGCTAGGTAATGACGTAACATGTACAAGACTAACTTATGACGTAATATTACAAGGCTAGGTAATGACGTAACATGTACAAGACTAACTTATGACGTAATATTACAAGGCTAGGTAATGACGTCACATGTACAAGACTAACTTATGACGTAATATTACAAGGCTAGGTAATGACGTCACATGTACAAGACTAACTTATGACGTAATATTACAAGGCTAGGTAATGACGTAACATGTAAGGAATAAGAATAACACAGAACACAACAGATGAGATTCAATGTAAAGTACTCAGTATAGTAGATGTAAACAGGGAAACCAGATACTAGATGAACAACGATGTTATTGAGAAATCCGACTGTGAGAAAGATTTAAGAGTAATGATAAGTAGGAATCTTAAGCCAAGTAAACAATGTGTATTTGCTCGAAACAAGGCTAATAAAGTACTTGGGTTCATACAAAGGAGTGTTAGTTACAAGACTAGCGAGGTCATCTTAAAACTATATCATGCGCTTGTGAGACTTCACTTGGATTACGCAGTTCAATTCTGGTCACCGTATTACAGAATGGATATAGAATCCTTGGAAAGAATTCAGGGGAGAATGACAAAACTAATCCCGGGCATTAGGAACCTTGAGTACAGAGACAGGTTAAAGCATCTTAATTTGCACTCCCTCGAGAGACGTAGAGTGAGGGGCGACCTGATAGAGGTGTATAAATGAAAGTCAGGGCTAAACAAAAGGGACATTACAAAGGTACTCAAACTATCCAACCAGGAGCGAACTCGTAACAATGGTTTTAAATTAGACAAACTTAAATTTAGGCGCGAAATAGGTAAACATTGGTTTGGAAATAGAGTAGTGGATGAGTGGAACAAGTTACCAAACATCACCATTAACTGGAACACGCTGGATAGCTTCAAACATAGGTTGGGTGGATATATGAGCGATAGGGGTTGGGTGTAAATAGGACTGTCCAGTATGGGCCAATAGTTACTGTTTCCTCCAGTCTTATGTTGGGACAGGTACTACACCACGTTGCCGCCTATAAGACACGTGCAGTCCAGAACATAACAGGTATTGGACACGTTCATCTCACACAGCATACGCATAAACGCGAACTGTACACAACTTTGGAGAATTAATAATTTTCCTTGATATAAAACACCTTGGAATATTGTATTAATAAGTTTAGGAATATCAGACCGGGAGTACATTTCATTAATTAAAAAATATATCCTTAAAAAATGCATTCTAGTTGATAAATAAATACGTATCAACTTTTAAAACTAATATAATCATAAACAAATCACAATAAAATATAGATTATTAGGAAATATTTACAATAAAACACATTTGACCTTATGAGAAAACTATATAATATTAGCGAGAGAAACTGATCTAGTCAATCGCGAATGCTAGTGGCAGAGAATGTTGCCAATGCGTAAATTTAAAACATTTTCCAGCAGCAGTCACTGAGTCAGCCAGACAGTGAGGCACACGAAGTGAAGACGAATGTGACGTTAAATTAGATGACACGAACAGTTTAGAACAGTGGATCTTAAACTTTTTTGCTTCGAGCCCCCTCCTAGATCCCACGCCCCCCCAGAACCCAAGCCCCCCCCCCCACCCCCTCATTCAACCCTTGGTTATTATAGAGTGGGAGGGATGGGCAATCGTGTACAAGACGTGTTCAGTTCCTGACCAGACTTTTCTCTCTGACCGCTCTCGCCCCCTCCCCTTGGAATCGCGCCCCCAGTTTAAGAACCACTTTAGAATGTTAAGTAAGAACGAAATAGATCGGTTGGCTGAGTAAAACGAATGCAACATGAGCTGAACAGGTAAGATAAATGAGTAAGATTTGTCTGACAGGTAAGACTGATGAGTAATGAGTAGAACAAGTAAAATAAATTAATAAGATGAGTGTTACAGGAAATATGAGGGAGGGTGTGAGGAGGGGGAAGGGGGTAGTGGCACCAGTCTGGACATGTGGGAGTGAAGGGGAAGAAGGGTAGTTACGGGGGGTGGGAGGAGGGGTGTTGGCACTGGCTGGTGGCACCGTGCCCCGGAGGGCTGCAGGTGTTTTCAGTGCCAATTCTGCCCTGGCCGGCGCCACCACGGAGCAGCACCCGGCTCGATCCTCACACACGGCACCCCCTCCGCCGCCACAACTGCTGACGAAGCTCTCGACGAGTTCTCCGTGTGTGAAGGTCATGTCTAGAGACTGAGGACAAGACCAGAGTGTTGCCACGCCCCGGGGACATATACACTCGAAGGGGACAACCAAACCTCGACCCCTTCTTCAGGATGGTGCCGCCGTACGAAGCTCTTTGTTCTCACGTGACCTTCAGCCACCTGTGGAGAAAACTGTGAACTATTTACATATAACCATCAAGTGTCTTCCTTACGTAAATAAACTTCCTTTGTTAACAAGTGCCTTTGTGATGTTTACGAGTGACCTTATAAGTAAACGAATGCCTATTGTAACGTTAAACAAGTGAACTTAAACAAATGCATTTATTACGGAATCGAGTACTACCTTTGTGATGTGTTCAACAAATAAGGAACGGGGAGAAGGAATTCGACGAAGTGATAAAAACTGAGGGTGCGTGTGGCATTTGTCCAGTGTACAGTGAAGAACAAAAAAGATCAACTCAGGAACTATAGTAACCTGATCTGACGTCATCAAGTAACTGGTGTAAATTAATTGCAAAGTTATGGGGAATGAGAGCCGTGCTGTGTGAGGTCAGGGCTGTGTACTGTGCCTCCACCATAGTATAACCCTTCAAGGGGGACTCCTCGTATACACACACACACACACACATGCCAGTTCCACACACTGAGTCAACAACACGCCACCAACCCTCACGCTGCACCTCCATTTGCCTTGCCAAGAACTCGCCTCTGAACGTCATCTCCTTACTATACACCACCACTGTCTTGTGAGATAACTTAAAACACACACACACTCACTCACACCACCACCTCCTCCATCATCTTTACACACCTGACGAAGAGGCCCTCGTGGTCAACGGTGACCAATGAGGGTGAGTGCGGAGCAAGGCCGAAGGGTGAGGGTCGTCCACGCCCCTGGCCACCTGCTGGACCCCCACTCCTCCCCCACCAGGTAGTTGTGTCCTCTACACTAGTACTGGCACTTTCCTCTTGTGCTGCTCCGACTGCTGTTGACCCCGCTACTGCCACACAAATCATCGCTGCTAAACAAGTAGGAAAGCTTCAACTCTTGTAAATATTTTATCGTTGTTAAGTAGACTAATCATCTCCCCTTGTTGACCCTCGTGACACTACTAAACATGATAGCTTCTGCCGGTGCTTCTGTACTTACTCTGGTAGATGACCCTCACTGAACCTCTTGGGCAGCTGGCGGGTCAAACAGAAAAGAGCACTTCGTGAGGGTTATATAGATTAACACAGCAATTAATCAATGAATCAGTTCCATCCATCCATCCATCCGTGCGTTTGCTATATATTAGGAACTGGAACAAAGCATAATGGATTCTCACTAGACATCATACGTAAGGGTACTGTACATCCCACGAGATTTAAAAAAAAAATATTATCTTGTGTCATTATTAAACAGAATTATGGCCCTGTGGACTTTGTTATGGCGCGGCGGGGAACATGTGGTGACAATATCTCTCTCTCACACAGTTTGGAGAAGTTATTAAACCCTTCATATCTGCAGTGATGATACACCTTATGATCTGTTGTTGCTCTACCCCAGCATCACTTAACCTAACCTAACCCTCCTCAAGTGTTCTTCCAATCCCTTCTTGATCTTTTCCCAAAATCAAGGGACTCTGTAAACACAAACATCAAGGTATTCTGTAAACACAAACATCAAGGTATTCTGTAAACACAAACATCAAGGGACTCTGTAAACACAAACATCAAGGGACTCTGTAAACACAAACATCAAGGGACTCTGTAAACACAAACATCAAGGGACTCTGTAAACACAAACATCAAGGTATTCTGTAAACACAAACATCAAGGTATTCTGTAAACACAAACATCAAGGTATTCTGTAAACACAAACATCAAGGTATCTGTAAACACAAACATCAAGGGACTCTGTAAACACAAACATCAAGGGACTCTGTAAACACAAACATCAAGGGACTCTGTAAACACAAACATCAAGGGACTCTGTATTCTGTAAACACAAACATCAAGGGACTCTGTAAACACAAACATCAAGGGACTCTGTAAACACAAACATCAAGGGACTCTGTAAACACAAACATCAAGGGACTCTGTAAACAAACATCAAGGGACTCTGTAAACACAAACATCAAGGGACTCTGTAAACACAAACATCAAGGGACTCTGTAAACACAAACATCAAGGGACTCTGTAAACACAAACATCAAGGGACTCTGTAAACACAAACATCAAGGGACTCTGTAAACACAAACATCAAGGGACTCTGTAAACACAAACATCAAGGGACTCTGTAAACACAAACATCAAGGGACTCTGTAAACACAAACATCGAGGGACTCTATAAACACAAACATCGAGGGACTCTGTAAACACAAATATCGAGGGACTCTATAAACACAAACATCAAGGGACTCTGTAAACACAAACATCAAGGGACTCTGTAAACACAAACATCAAGGGACCCTGTAGACACAAACATCAAGGGACCCTGTAGACACAAACATCAAGGGACTTTATAAACACAAACCTAGAGATTAATTACCGTAATGCTAACCTAACCTAACCTCTATGGTGACCGTCTTACAACAAGTTTGGGTTAACTTGAATTAGATTAAGATTTAATTTAGGCCAACTAAGGTCAGATTAAAATGAAGTTAGAGTAGCTTGGGTTAGATTAAGTTTAAGTCAGGTTAGCTTGGGTTAGGTTATGTTTAAGTCTGATTAGCTTGGGTTAGGTTATGTTTAAGTCTGGTTAGCTTGGGTTAGGTTATGTTTAAGTCAGGTTAGCTTGATTTAGATTAAGTTTAAGTCAGGTTAGCTTGGGTTAGGTGATGTTTAAGCCAGGTTAGCTTGGGTTAGATTAAGTCTAATTCTGGTTAGCTTAGGATAAGTTTAAGTCTGGTTAGCTTGAGTTAGGTTCTGTTTAAGTCAGGTTAGCTTAGGAAAAGTTTAAGTCTGGTTAGCTTGAGTTAGGCTATGTTTAAGTCAGGTTAGCTTAGGATAAGTTTAAGTCTGGTTAGCTTGGGTTGGGATAAGTTTAAGTCTGGTTTGCTTGGGTTAGGTTAAGTTAGAAGACCCTAACTCTACCAAACCAAACCAAACCTAACCAGTTGTCGGTATTACAGGATGGCTCCGCGTCGTCAGCCGGGGTCCCTATACCAGCAGTGTGTGGGGCGCCTGTCTCACTTCCTGGACGGGTTATGTAGCACTCACGTCCACGCTCCTGACCACCCAGAGCTTGTAGCCGTCGCCTCCTATCTCGACTCCCTGCTTCCGGTACCTCTTCAGGCTTCAATTGGTCAGTGTAATGCCATTAACTAAGGAAACGTTTTCTTTACACACACACACACACACACTAGCATCATTAGTTAACTATATCCCTGTCATGATATAGGCTATAATAATAATAATAATAATAATAATAATAATAATAATATGCTGTGTTAATGGTTGTTAGTACCTTATATAACAGACTACCCACTCGTGTTAATATCTTATGAATGTGTTAAGTAGCTGTTAGGTTAAGTTTGGTTAGGTTTCGAGAAGGTAAGTTTAACATGGACTGGTTCCCTGTCGATCTCATTAAGTATGTCAACAACAGGTATAGTCTGGCAAACGACGGCTCTGATTGGCTGATTCATTAAACACTGTAGTATTTTTCTTAACTCTAAATTACAGTGGTCGCCAAACTCTTCAGCCTCACGGACCAGCGGAGAGTGGAAAAAAAAAAATAGCGTTGCGTTAATCGGAAATTGTAAAATTTTATATAGTAGACCCTCTGTATTTCGTGAGATTGGGACTGGTATTTACAGGGATATATCGATTGTGTGATATATTACTGTACATTAAGGAAGACGAGGGTACAGGACCAGACTAAAAAATAAATAAATCGTACACCAAAGAATGCATTTAAGACGTTCAGTAAACATTGGTTATCTGCACGGGTGTATTGGTTATCTGCACGGGTGTATTGGTTATCTGCACGGGTGCATTGTAGGCGATTATACTTTAATAAATAGTAATTAATTAAGATAAAGCAGAGAGGAGCCCAAGACATTCTATCCACCTGACCGACTTACCAAAGACTAATCGAATCGTCACTTTTGTCATATGCGGATCCGTCTTCCCTCAGGCGTCAGCTGCCACAGATTAAATATAAATTAGATTTTGCAAATTAACTGAGCACAGTATTATTATTATTAATGATCAAGAAGTATAAGATAATTATGTTTTGCTTAGAAACTATAAATAAAATAAGCCATGGTAAAAAATCCAACGGACTGATCAAGTATAATACAATATAAAGTGTACTGTATAATGTACGAAATTTTGTTATAAATACAATTTTCTGCTGCAAATCAGTCTCGTTGCCTGACGTACAAGGTATGTTTAACTAATTTATAACTTGTTGCGTATTTAATGAACTGATCAGTGAAATTTACATGGACGTGATTATTTACGTAAAATATACAGAAATAATCACAATAATCGTGGTTTTAGTTGATGTTAGCAGATATGGAGGAAATATATTACAGCAAGATAGTCGTTGTTTCACTTCAGCCGCGAATCAACCAATCAGACGCCAGACTTGTTTATTTTTTTTTAGATTTATTGAGTGAGATAAACATGAGAAATTACCTAAATTTTTTCGCCTGTCTTGAGAGAGAGAGAGAGAGAGAGAGAGAGAGAGAGAGAGAGAGAGAGAGAGATTTCAAGTCAAGGTGTTTCGATAACATTCTGAGACACAGGTGCGCTTGATGACTGTTCTTGGTGACTGTCACTGGTGACTCACTGGCGACTGTTCCTGGTGACTGTCACTGGTGACTCACTGGTGACTGTTCTTGGTGACTGTCACTGGTGACTCACTGGTGACTGTTCCTGGTGACTGTCACTGGTGACTCATTGTTGACTGTTCCTGGTGACTATTACTGTTGACTGTTCCTGGTGACTGTTGCAGGGAATTTTGTCCTGACCATTGTACTGGTATACAGTATGTGTCAGCTTCTGGGGACCATCTCTGTGGGCCACTTGACTGACGTGTTGCTTCATAATGTTGGTCTTTGTGGATGTTAACTGATGTATATGTTTGTATATTGACAGGTGAGGCTGTGTTGGCCATCAGTGACAGGCTACAGATGACGCCGTCACCGTCACACGTGCGGCTGTTACTGCGGCTGCGGGTGCGGCGGGTCTCCACCAGTGGTTCCGTTGTGCAGTCTGGCGTGCTGGAGACTGCCGATGGAGGCTTTCTGGAGAACTTGTCTTTGTTTTACGCCGGGTGTGGAGACCGAGCCACCAAGCTGTACAACTTCCTGCACACCGCCACTACCCTCACCCACCTCAGCTGCACAGACTTCTGCAACAACCACATGATCGACATCGTGGCCAGGACCTGTGAGCGACTCTACTGCATCGACTTACGAGGCTGTTATGACGTCAACGACGACGGCGTCCTGCGGCTGTGCGGGCTGCAGGACGGCCTGAGGGACAACATCGAGGTGTTGAGTAAGGGCGGCATCCTTCAGCCTACTTCACGCTGTGCTCGCTCCCTCAAGGAGATCAAGTTCTCCATGACCAAAGTGACGGAGGCCGGCGTGGCCGTCATCCTCCTCGTCCTCACCAACATAGAGATCCTTCGCGTCCCGGATATCAAGATGGAGAAAGTGTTCAACTTCCTTCAGACTATCGACCACAAAAATGTTCAGTGTAACTTGAAGGAATTCCATTCTCGTGAGATCCTGAACGAGTTCCAGCTGACGGTGCTGACGAATCTGTGTCCCAACCTGGAGTACATCCAGGTCTCCTTCATCGGTAACTCGGAGATGGACCTGACGCGGCTACAGCAACTCGCTCGTCTACAGAAGCTAAAGCGAGCCAAGTTCGCTGACGTGAACTGCGACGCCCTGGTGTGGTTCTTACAACAAGTGGGGGACAGAATGACACACCTCTTTCTGTACACCTACCACACTCGCTTCTCCCAGCAGAAGTTGAGTATCACCCGCAACCACCTACAGTGTCTGGCCCAGTACTGCCCTTACCTCGAGAGTCTCTGCCTCGATGGTTACCTGCTGGGGGAGGACATCCCTTACCATCTGGCACCCGAAAACATGCATTACTTCAAGGCTCTCCGCTCTCTACAAGTGGCCTCCATGAAGCTCTCCGAGGACGACCTCAAGGTGTTTCTCAACAAGTGTCAGAACATGAGGATCCTGGAGCTGGTGCTGCAGAACCCCCACGTCCTCTACGACCGTCTCATATGTGAACTCCTGGACGCCGGGGTGTGGCAGAACCTGGTCAAGATCCGGGTGCTCAACTCTCCCCTCACCAGCAAGGTGATGCACCGCCTGGTGAAAGAGTGTCCGCTCTTACAGGAGGTCGGCTGCCTCTACAGTTGGCTCGTTTCCAAGGAACAAGTTTCAGAGTTCAAGGAGAACATCAGGCATCAAAATTTTGACATTGAAATTTATTGATGAAATCCTGCGTTGTTTAACAGTGTTACAGAAAGAAGACAAGTGACCGCTGAAACCTGTGCGCCGCCTGCCGGAGCTTCTCTACATGGCTATAAGAGGCGTGGGTCACCCTGGTTCATCTATTGCTGCTGTTTTATCTTCGGGGTTTGCATGTAAGCGAGGCTGCAACTGATGTTACCCGGGCAGTGTTGGTACATAGCTGGAGTGTGAGAGTGAGGGACCCACACACTCTGGACCAGTAACGCTACTTTAACCACCTGTGTGTTGGCCGCCCCAGGACGGACACCCACACACCACCACTTCATGCTCGTGCTTGTAAATTGCACCAAATCTACTGTTTGTTTTGACCTGGAAAGCTTTTATAAACTGACAGACGTGAAACAGTGACCTGATGATGCTTTAAGATGAGTATTTTGCCAGAGAGATTAAGTAAAATGTCTCTATATTTTATATCTATTTTTCCTTACAACCTGTCCCAGCAACTCCCGCCACATCCTTACTCAGCATTTTTTATGTTATTGTAGTTTTTTTGCGGTGTGCTCACCTGCAATGTGGTTAAGAGGACTGCCAAGAGGATATCCGTTGGTGGGGTGCCAGGCGGGTGCCAAGCGTGCCTCCACACCCCCCCCCCCGCCTGATTCCTGGCCTAAAGGGAAGGAGCACGGCTGCTAATTTTGGCCCAGAACACAACAAAGATCATTTACTTGAGAGTTGCAGATAACAGAAAGCTTTAGATTCCTCGCAGACTGTATTTTTTGTTTTAAGTTGGCAGTTGTTACGGTGATGTGGGCGGCCCTTATACTGCCGCCCACTACCACTGCTTCACTCCACGGGAACGTTTGCACCGTGAAAACTGTGTCCTAGAAATGCGAGGAGATTTATTTCACGGGCCATATCACCGGCTCAGAGTCAGCACATTGTTGTTTGTGGGACCTGTGTGTGTAAAAGACGTTAATTGTGTGTGTCGGTCTGAAGATCAAAATGGTACCAACTTTAAACACTGGACTTAAATATGTAGAAAATTCACGTTCTTTGGGTAGATGTTTACATCTCTCCAATACCGCTGAGGTTTTCTTTTAAGTTCAGATGTTCAGTGTTGGTAGGAGACTGATATTTAGACCTACACACACACACGCACATAACAAACGCGTCCTTTTTCACAAACACACACAGCTTCCAAAATAACACCATGCCAGCTCTGAGACTAATTTGTTCCCTAAACCAGTTCATGCTATTATTGATACTCCCTTGTGTGGTGAAGATTCTCGTTCAAAAGTAAATTAATATCAGAGAAATCTTGGGAATTGGTTCGTAGAGCACCGTTGGGGAAACATCAATCCCCAGCATACTGTATACGTAACACTTTCCTGTTGTCGCCATACTTGTGAAATGTTGGAACTTGCATTTTGACTTTGATTTAGAAAGCGTTGTGTAAGAAGTTTGTAATACTGTAGTTTTAAGAGATAATAATAATGTTGAAGATCTGCTCCAGCTGCATAATAAAATGATAATAGTTATAGAAGAGCGAGTTGTTGACATTTCTGTGAGGAGAACGTGACTTATAACGACGGAAAAGTTGGTGGAAGATGAAAAGAAAACAGTTGACTCGGATAGAAAGTGAAGGAAGTATAAGTTGGAAGTTATGGAAAGTTTAAGTACGCATTGATGGAAAGAATAAGTATGGAGTGATGGAAAATGTCAGTACGAAGTTATGGAAAGTGTAAGTACGAAGTTATGAATTTGCCACATTTAAATCTAACTTAAACCGACCGAAATTGTGTCGGTTTGTCTGATTTTTGCATCGATAACACCTACAGTATGTTCTCAAAAACATGTCAACAATTCACAGTAACTTTTAGTTTGTTTACAGTTATTAGCCGGGTGGCGGGCGGAGGTTTTCAATAATCCTCCACAAGAAAGTGTATTATTTATGAGACTTAAAGTAATATACAATAGTCAGGTAATCTTCTTGGAATAGAATTCTGACTTTAAATATATATATCAATTGTCTTCATGTGCAGATTATATATTTGGGTAACTAACTGTTGATCAGTGTCGCGGGCCAGCAGCTCACTGATGGCCATAGAGGCATCATGCACGTCTGCTAAAAGTCAAGAACACGCTAACTAAACTCAACCTAACGTATGTCCTCTCTATGATAGTTAGCTTAAGATGGGTTATGTTAGATTGGTAGGTTTTATCTGTTTTAAGAGTTGGTTTATTAGATTTTCACCAAATATTAAAATCCAAACATACATAGTTTATCAGTTATATGTTGCTATTGGATAAGTAAAACGTTGCTTCCGTGATGTTTGTAGGGAAAAGAAAACGCCAAATAATGGGTAAAAAATAAACCGCGATACTGATCTACAGGTTGCCTTTATATCAAACTGGGTGATACTTTGGTGTCTTATCCTCGTGTTGTCGTCATCCCACGTCACAGTTTCTGGCCAATGGTTTCATATATTTTGGAGGCGTAAGTGTGGTCGCCCCATGACTATAGTTAGGATTCCATTCACGCGTTAGCACTAGCGCCAAAAATAGATGACATTGAAATGTGCACGGTTGTTTCCATTGGCACGGTTTTGTTAGCGTTATGCGTTTGCAGTATACTGTCCATGCCAATCGCTCCCTGTAGCGACTGAAAACGCGTGAATGGAATTATAGCTTTAGGGTCCGTTCGTTAATACAGATGGCAGTGGATCATGACGTCACGTAATATGCAGAAGTATGTTAACCATGTTTCATTCTGGGTGTTATGATGTCTTGTGAGTGTTAAACAAGACTCAAGGATACGTTTGCTCAATGCGCGTGACATTCCCCCTGCCTGCCTGAGGAACACAGCGGACGCCATTACTCAGTACCTGTCTCCCTGGCCGTGTTGTTGACGATGCTCCCGTTCATAGACACAGTTAAGGTGTCTGTGAACGGCACCTCTGTGTATGTTCTTCCTGTGAGTGCGCGTGTACAATACAGTGACACACATCGCTGTTGTTGTCATTATATCCAACATTGTCTTTCAAAAAGTTGTGAATTGTTTCATAATAAATAGTTGATTTTTCCTATGAAAGTCACTTTATTTTGAGCGAACCTTAAAGAGTTATTATTACAAGAGGAATTCAACGCTGATGAATTGAAGTTTTGACTCCATCAGGTCGGTAAGTCTCCAGATGTTTCTTAGAAGTACACGAACACAGTACACAGGCAAACACAAATACACAATATCCGTACACGCTTACAGACACACGCATCCATACTTACATACAGAAACGCCCGCACACATACGCAGACCTTGAGGCAAGTCCTTCACCCCTACTTGATCCTAAGTTACGACAGGTTAGGTTAAAGGCGGCGTCATAATTGCACTTTTTCCATCAAATTTCTCGGTTTCCGTCGTTTATTTCCACGAATTGTAAATTTTTTTAGCTCGTCACGCTGGAACGAAACGTGTCGTTTCAGCCTGACTGGGTAGCGCCAATTTCTGTGGTCAAGATCTACAGTATACTTAATAATGAGGATATTTATATAAAATAAATATCGAACCATGTAAAACAACTCGATTTAATTAAAAAATTATTCAGTGTTGCAATTTTAATAAACTGCATAAGTGTAATTGGATCATATGAAGATCTTCCCCCCCCAAAGTATCCAACTGAAGATCCTCCCCCCCAGGCTAGATCATATGAAGATCCAAGTAGGTTTGGGGGGGAGGTTAGGTTAGGTTTGGTTAGGTTAGGTTAGGTTAGGTTAGGTTAGGTTAGGTTAGGTTTGGTTAGGTTAGGTTAGGTTTGGTTAGGTTAGGTTAGGTTTGGTTAGGTTTGGTTTGGTTAGGTTAGGTTAGGTTAGGTTAGGTTAGGTTTGGTTAGGTTAGGTTAGGTTAGGTTAGGTTTGGTTAGGTTAGGTTAGGTTTGGTTAGGTTTGGTTAGGTTAGGTTTGGTTAGGTTAGGTTAGGTTAGGTTAGGTTAGGTTAGTTTAGTTTAGGGGGGGGGGGTGGATCTGCAGATGAGCGCGACTGGGCTTGATCATATGAAGATCTCCCCCCAGGCCAGATCATATGAAGATCCTCCCCCCCAAGTAGGTTTGGGGGGGAGGATCTTCATATGATCCGTGTAATTTTTTTATTGATGTTGATATTCGTAAATACATCTGATATTACTTTTATCCTCTTCGTCACTTTTTTGGGTGACTGTACCTTCGACCCAGTAGTGCCCCTGAGATGTTTATAGACTTCGATTAGGTCGCCCCTTGCCCATCTGTAGTATAACCTTGGCAGTAGTTTCAATTTCAATTTCAATTGTTTATTCCTTGAAAGAGGAAGCGGGATCCTAGTGCTGTCACTAGGTACCCCTGTACAATGACACCAGAATCATCTGGCAAGTGTGAAAAGTATATACAGTATAAATATTATAAAGGGGCTTACTAAAGCCTAAGGAAGGAAGGATGTTCCTTTAACACATAATCAATATTATTTACAAAATATCTGGCCAGTATTGGGAGGATCATCGTGTCTCCGTCAGGGGGTCGTGGAGTGGTGGTCCAGCAGGCGTCACGGAAGCGTTGTGTGTGGGGACATCTTAGGAGGTAGTGAATAAGGGTGCGGCTGTCGGGTCTTCTGCATAACGCACAAGAGCGTTGCTCAGGGGATGTGGGGATACCAATCTCCCAAGCAAAGTCATACCCAATGATGATACGGGCAGCAATCACGTCCCCCTTCCGCGACCCTTTCCCGTAGACGTACGAGAGGTCAGGAAGTTTACGGAGGACATCGTACCATGTGGGCGGGGAGTCCAGGGGGATGGCTGCTTCCCGAGCTTCTCTCTGTTTGCGGCGGATTTGGGTCCTAATCTGTAAGAGTGTTCGAGGAACAACGTAGTCAGGTGTGGCCTTGTTGCAGCCAGTCTTGGCAAGGTCATCTGCTGCCTCATTCCCTGGCAGTAGTTGTAGGCGTTTAATGTCTTGGTAACTGAGGTTCCGTAGAGGTGGCGTTTGTTTACATTGAGCCTTGTGTTCAACTTCACGGCCTCACTATTCCTGTGTGGATGCGTCTGTCCGAAGAATAATTGACAGACAATATTATATCACTTCGTTACCTGTGGGACCCAAAGGACGATAGATACAGTAAAAAAAAAAGGAAAGGAAGGCATACAAAGCCATTTTCTTCCATTACAATTGACGAACGCGGAAAGATTGGCGTGTGTGACAGGGAGCGCTCAGAAAATTTTAATTTTTTAGAAAATTAATGCAATTAAATTATGAAAAAAAGTGCTAGCGTGACGCCATCTTAAGTCAAGGTTCGGTTAGGGCGTATGAGGACGTGGAAAGACTGGGCCCGTGAGTGGGAAAGACTGGGCCCGTGAGTGGGAAAGACTGGGCCCGTGAGTGTAAGAGTTATCACAAAATTCCAGCCACAGATTACATTGTTTACATCTATAGTGAACAGGTAATGTGTGAACGGTTGGGGTAACAAAGGAATAAGCTCAAGTCTCGTGGTGTTATAAAACGTCTGGAGTTCAGTGTTCTATCAGTACCTGAGTGTGACGTGCATTGTGCTGCCATTACGCAGTTTGTGAAGTGAACCTGGCCACCTTGCCTCCCTGTGTATGGTCCCACCCAAAAGTTCGTTAACTCTCCCAGCCAGCTATTGCTGCACTGCCTGCTTCAGATGTATGAACTTGAGTCTGTTACTTCGAACCTTTAGATTCACTAGTTTTGGTTTCATGTTCTGGTTGGTACTGAGACAGTTTCAAACATCTGAAGCAGGCAGTGCAGCAATACCTGGCTGGGAGAGTTACCGAACTTTTGGGTGAGACTGTACCGAAGGTTTGGACCATTTTTTTTTTTTTTAATATTCGAGGCAGCATATCTGAAGAGCAATCCCAGCACCGGGTTACTTTTTAGTAACCCGACATATGATTCGTCAAATTCTAATAGCAGCCAATACATGCGGGTTGCAACAGTAACCGTAATGCTGCAACTCGAGAGGGTTGGTAGGCCTGGACAAGATAAACAAACTGACTAACCTGCTCGATTTGACAGACGCCAACCTTGAAGTAGAAGCATAAGTGGTGGGTGTAAAAGTTCGTGTTCAAGGGAGAAGGCAACTCCCTTGAGAGAAACTCAAAAGAAAACTCTAGTTGACACGATCAATGAAGATAAAGTTATACAAGAAAGGACACACGACCTCAACGCCATCAACAAGAAGCATATGCTTGGGGGCAAGTGATGGTCAGTTGTATTGCCATGTACAGCCCAGCAGTCTCCTCCAGTTAATGCGAGCCCGGGAATACATCGGAAAGAAGTAAGAGTATATTAGTTTTAGTGTGTAATTGGACTATACATGATACAGTATATACTAGGAACAACACTAGGACAATTCTCGATAATAACCATGCTTGTAAACGCTGCCCCTAATAGTCCGTCATACAGGACCCACTGCCTTTCACAACGTACAACACCTCGTTCATGTACGAGTATGTACAGCAATTTTGTAAGTGATAAGTGTACACTATTGTTGTGGGTTGTGATAAGTGTACACTATTGTTGTGGGTTGTGATAAGTGTACACTATTGTTGTGGGTTGTGATAAGTGTATAAGTGTACACTATTGTTGTGGGTTGTGATAAGTGTACACTATTGTTGTGGGTTGTGATAAGTGTACACTATTGTTGTGGGTTGTTGTGCAGGATATATATATAATGACTTTAGACGGAAACAAAAAACAAACTAAAAGGGGTCCTTCTAAAATCTGAAAATCAACTATATAGAATATGTAAACCAAATGATATGGATAATTCCTTTGTTAAGTTAAATCTTTACGTTTCGTGGGTAAATGCAACATTATCACATTGTTATGGTTCTTTATTACCTTTAGCTGGTTTTCGGTTTTCAGGAGAGCCTGGGGAAGGGAGGTGAGGGGGCCCCGTCCAGCAGCCAGCGGGGCCCAGGTGTTGGCAGCAGTGAGAGGCTGGCCAGGGTGGGTCACGCGCTGATGCTGGCACCCACATGTGGCCTTAACCACCACCCTCCCTGTCCCGGCCGGGGGGGGGGGCAGCAGATTATTTGTTTATTTGTTACTTATATTTTTGCTGTGGGTGAAGGTTGTGGTCTACGCCTGTGTCCAGAGCTTCGTGTGGTTGTTTAACTGTGGTGGTGTTGTGGTCACATTTTTGGACAGAATTCTTCATGGTATATTTCTTATATCTTAATGGCCGTCTCCCTCACATGGCCGTGTTGTGGTACACCTTTGGTGGCATCTTAAGTTTTCTCAATCATTGGTGGTAACTTGAGCTCCCCAGTCCGGGTAAGTTACTGCATGTATCTGAATACTTTCAGTGGCGTGGAAATCTTTTATCGTGTGTGGATGTTCGACTACTGACACAACACTGAGTATTACGCCTCAGTACACAATGAGGAAGTGTGGCCGGTACCAACACTTCCCCAAAAGGTTGATTTTAATGGATGCGAACCAACGACCATTAGCACCTATATGCTGTACTACATTAACACTTTAATATGAGAGAAGCAGAGGCCTATAGACCTACCTGATGGTTCCTTTATAATATCAGTGGTCGCTCTGGTCATAATGTGGAGATGTCACAGTATTATTGTCCTGGTCATAATGTGGTGATGTCAGGATGTTATTGTCCTGGTCTTGGGGAGAGATACCCTGAATTATTTCCCTGACACGATAGATAGATAGATATTTAAATCATACTGAATTTTAAATCTAAAGACACTAGAAACGTCGTCCTTACTAACACACACACCAGACATAACCATTCAACATCTCGTGAGAGGAAAGGAGTAAGGGAGAGGAGGAGGAAGAGGAGGTGGAGGGGGGAGAAAAGAGGAGGTGGAGAGGGTATGAGAGAGGAGAGGACAGGAGATGGGAGGGTGTGTGGGGGGTACAAATTTCCGGGCTGATAAATTAAGGTTTCTCATCAAAATGTAAATACAGTATATATGAGGTAAAGGCTTTCTCAGGCCATCTTTGGTTTAATCAACTCACTATTTACCAGTGTTTGCATATCGTCACTGTCCATGTACACAATGCTGAATTAGAGTGA